TCAGGGATCTGACCCGCCTTGGCCCCAAGTGCTGGGGATTACAGGCATAAGCACCGTGGCCCGCGCCTAATTTTGTATTTTTAGTAGAGCAGGGGTTTCACCAGGTTGGCCAGAGATTTTTGTGTCTTTTTGTAACTCTGCCTCAGTGATCCACCCACCTGGGAATTCCAAAGGGTCACTGGGATTACAGTGCATGGCCCCTGTACCCGTTGCCTAATTTTTTGTTTCTAGTTAGAGATAGGTTTTGCCATATTGGTCAGATGCTTGTCTCAACTCCCAGCCTCGTCAGGGAATCCACCATGCCTCAGCCTCAGCTAAAGTAGCTAGGTATACAGTATGAGACGCACACATGCGTGGCTGAACTGCTTTTAAAAACCTAAAAAGACTTCTCTCTTTGTGGACACGCTTTAGGTACGAGGCACATGGGAGCAGAAGTACAGTATCACTCGTATATCCCATCCCTACACACATACCAAGGCCTGCCGTATTTTGAATCCGGCACCACAGCGGTACATTTGTTAAACTGAAGAACCTGCTCTGATTCACCATGTATCCCCCCAGTCCAGAGTTTACGATCAGGTTGGTTCGACTCTTGGTGGTGTACACTCTGTATGAGGTTTGGATGAAACAAGACAATGACATGGTCTACCATATGCGCTCCGTATGCAATAATTTCACTGACCTAAAATCCTCTGTGCTTCACCCATCTCATCCCTTGCTCCCTCTCCCCAACCCCTGGCGACCACTGCATTCTTTCTTTTACTGTCTCCACAGTTTTGCCCTTTTCCAAGAATGTCACATGGTTGGAATATCATACAGTGTGTAGCCTTTTCCAGTCTGGCTTCCTTTCACTTACAATGATGCGTTTAAAGAAAACCCACTCTTTAACCCACAAACATTTCTAATGTGCTTACTCTCTTTGTGGGGTAGGAGAGAGAGAACAGTAGCCTCTGGGGCTGGTGATGAATTAATCAAAGTGAGATCACCTGAGGTCGGGAGTTTGAGACCAGCCCGACCAATATGGAGAAACCTCGTCTCTACTAAAAATACAAAATTAGCCAGGCGTGGGGTCGTACGCCTGTAATCCCAGCTACTCGGGAGGCTGAGGCAGGAGAACTGCTTGTAACCGAAGGCAGAGGTTGTGGTGAACCAAGATCGTACAACTGCACTCCAGTTTGGGAGAAAGAGCGAAACTCTGTCTCAAAAAACAAACAAACCAAAAAAAGTGGAGGCTGGGCGCAGTGGCTCACGCCTGTAATCCCAGCACTTTAGGAGGCTGAGGCAGAGAATTGCCTGAACCTGGGAGGCAGAGGCAGGCAGCAGCCGTTGCCAGTGAGCCAAGATTGCCACCACTGCACTCCAGCCGGGGCGTCAACCAGAGCGAGACTCTGTCAAAAAAAA